CCACTGGAGATGCCTGAGCAGAGAAGATGCAGGACCTTCCCCAGAGTGACAGCCTTTTTCTGGAGCTGGACCGAAGCGGAGGGGTTGCTAATTTGGATTGTTCTGGACACCTCCCCCCCCTCCCTGCTAGGAGCCTGCTGGAGGCTGAGCTGTGGGGTGCTGGGACCTGAGCCTCGAGGGGGGATATGGAGGGTTCTGGAAGGTCCTCATGAATAAAGGCCCCAGTGGGGGAGACCTTGCGTTGTGTGCACGTGGTGCAGCGCCGGAGGGGGCCAGGAGGGGGAGCCGCGGAGCAGGCAGCCTGCCGGCAGTGAGGCCCCAGGAGCGCAGGGTTTCTGGTGAATTCTGGGCTGGGGTTTGTGGGAGGGGTGTTAGGGGCCCCCAGGGCCCGGGGTGGTGGGCTCAGGATGCAGGGGGGCTGCCCCCACCGAAGTTCTGCCCTCAGAGGAGGCCGAGCGTCCCAGACAGTTGGGGCCCAGCCCCTCACCCTGGCCGTGCGGCCTAGGGCAGGAGTGTGGCTCCAGAAACCCTTCCCAACCCCTGACTTCTGCCCTGGGGCTGACTCCAGCCCCCCAGGCTGCCCTTCCGGGTAGCCTTCACCCCCCAGAGCCTGGGCCGAGGCAGGGGCTCTGCTGAGAAGTTTGGGCCCTCCTGCGCTCCGTAGCTGGGGCACCTTCCTGCCTGGGCCGGGCGGGCTCCTGGGGTTGGGGGGCGCAGAGGCGGGCCTGGGCCCGGGGGGCGGCTGGGCAGGGTGTTCTGTGGGGGCCGGAGGGGCGGCGGGGCTGCTGGGTGTGGCGGTGAATGCCCCAGGCGCCCTCTGTTTCCTGGGCAGCTCTGCGGCTATGGATGTGTTCCAGAAGGTGGAGAAGATCGGAGAGGGCACCTATGGGGTGGTGTATAAGGCCAAGAACAAGGAGACAGGGCAGCTCGTGGCCCTCAAGAAGATCAGGCTGGATCTGTGAGTGCCGCCGCGGCCCCCGAGACACCCCGCCCCAGGGGCGGCCCCTGCCCCTCACCTCCACGTCTGAGGGCGCCCGGGCGGCCCTCACGTCCGGCCCTCACGTCCGCATTCCGGCCACGCTTTGCCCCGGGCCCTGGGTGGTGTCAGGAGGTGCTGGGGAGCCCAGTGCCCCGTCTCTGGGGGGCCAGGCCGTTCTTAGGAACGCGGACCTCACGGGTGCCTCCCCCGGGGCAGACGCACCCCTCCCGGGTCGCTGCCGCCACTGTTGTCCGCTCCTGCCCTGCAGGGAAACCGAGGGAGTCCCAAGCACGGCCATCAGGGAGATCTCCCTGCTCAAAGAGCTTAAGCACCCCAACATCGTCAGGTGAGCTGGGGAAGGACGTGGGGAAGCGGGGCCTGTCGCGGTCCCGCTGGGAGCCGCGTGCTGACTGGTGTCCCCCCGGCCAGGCTGCTGGACGTGGTGCATAGTGAGAGGAAGCTTTACCTGGTGTTTGAGTTCCTCAGCCAGGACCTGAAGAAGTACATGGACTCGGCCGCAGCCTCCGAGCTGCCCCTGCGCCTGGTCAAGGTAGCGCGGGAAGGACGGGGAAGGACGGGGAAGGCGGGGAAGGAAGGACAGGGAAGGCAGGGAAGGACGGGGAAGGACGGGAAGGCGGGGAAGGAAGGACGGGGAAGGCAGGGAAGGACGGGGAAGGACGGGGAAGGACGGGAAGGCGGGGAAGGACGGGAAGGCGGGGAAGGAAGGACAGGGAAGGCAGGGAAGGACGGGGAAGGATGGGGAAGGACGGGGAAGGACGGGGAAGGACGGGAAGGCAGGGAAGGAAGGACGGGGAAGGCAGGGAAGGACGGGGAAGGACGGGGAAGGACGGGAAGGCGGGGAAGGAAGGACGGGGAAGGCAGGGAAGGACGGGGAAGGACGGGAAGGCGGGGAAGGAAGGACGGGGAAGGCAGGGAAGGACGGGGAAGGCAGGGAAGGACGGGGAAGGAAGGACGGGGAAGGATGGGGAAGGACGGGAAGGCCCCGCTCGGCCAGCGCGGCTTCCGCTCAACCAGCTCCTTCTTGCGCTTCGCCTCGGCAGAGCTATCTCTACCAGCTGCTGCAGGGGGTGAATTTCTGCCACTCTCATCGGGTCATCCACCGCGACCTGAAGCCCCAGAATCTGCTCATCAACGAGTTGGGTGCCATCAAGCTGGCTGACTTCGGGCTGGCTCGAGCCTTTGGGGTGCCCCTACGCACCTACACCCACGAGGTACTGCAGCACAAAGGGGAGGAGGAGGCCGCTAAAGGGCTAGGCCCTGAGCACTCAGCCACCCGGAATGACGGTTTTCTTGCCCCCGCAGGTGGTGACACTCTGGTATCGTGCCCCTGAGATCCTCTTGGGCAGCAAGTTCTATTCCACAGCTGTGGATGTCTGGAGCATTGGTTGCATCTTTGCCGAGATGGTAGAGGGAGGGACAAACATGGCCACGGAGGCCAGGGCCACGGGCAGGGTCCTGCTGGGGTGCAAGTGGGACTCTGATTCTCCTGTTGGAGGTGGATTCGGGGGTATTTGGGACGGGCTACGGGACTAAGGAAGCGAACCTTATTCCAGAAAAGGCCGGGATTCTTAGCACAGCCCTGGGAAGGATAGCTTATCTGGGATTGGATTCTGGAGGACAAGGGCGTGGATCCCACACCTCCTCTTCCTCATTTCAGGTGACCCGCAGAGCCCTGTTTCCTGGCGACTCTGAGATTGACCAGCTCTTCCGAATCTTTCGGACCCTGGGGACACCCAGTGAAGCCACGTGGCCAGGGGTCACCCAGCTGCCTGACTATAAGGGCAGTTTCCCCAAGTGGACCAGGAAGGGGCTGGAGGAGATCGTGCCCAGTCTGGAACCGGAGGGCAAGGACCTGCTCATGGTAGGTACAGGTGGGAGGCAGCAGAGGGCAAGACATGCTGCTGCGGCCACCGGAAGTGCCTCCTCGTCAGCCAGCCCCTTGTGTCACCCTAGCTCCTCCTAAGTCCAGCTGGTCTCTTTTGTGACCCCTGAACACAACTAGTTTGTCTCTGTCCCTGTGCATCTTGATCATTCAACCTGGAGGCCCCTCCCCTGTTAAGTCCAGCATTCATGTTTCCTTTTAAAACTACTTTCTTCTGGTTAGCTCTGTTTTTATGCAGTGACGAAGAGCAGGGAGCCCGACACAGGACTTGATCCCAGGACCCTGGGATCGTGGCCTGAGCCGAAGGCAGACGCTTAACTGAGTCACCCAGGCGCCCCACTTACCGTTTTTCTGTAAGCTTTCGCAGGCAGGGAGCATGCCTCCCTCCACAACAGTTGCTCTTCACATGAGGCTGTTCCCTGCTGTCTGGGCCCCTGCCGCAGTCTGAGCTCACCTCTCTTGTTGCACCATCCTGACCCGTTGGGCTGGCCCAGGCCAGACTGCCCAGAAGGCCTCAGGCAGGCCACCCATTGCCCACAAAGACTCGGAGCCACATCTGTCTCTAATCTGGTGTTGGGCCAGAAGAAGGCAGGGCAGTATTTGCATCTTCCCAGACACCCGTGAATGTCTACCAACCCAAGGCCGGCAGGATGGCGTATGCCTCCAGCCAAGGCTCTTAGCTCTCCATCCTGGCTACTCCCGGGCAAAGGGTCCTTCCACAGCCTAGCTGGGGCTTAGGGACTCTGAGTTCCCGCCCCACCCTCAAGTAGGCTCCCGAGGCAGGTTTGGCCCTCTCCCTCCTGATGCACGGAGAGACGTCTGTCTCAGCCAGAAGTAGGCAGAGGCCTGGGAACCTCAGGTAGGAAGAGGACAGACGGACTCAGCCTCTAGGCTGCAGGAGATGGGGATGACTTCCCAGGCCGGCCTAGAACTAGTTCTTTGCCCCCGGATTCCAGGAGCGGCCAGAACTGGCTCGAGAGCCGGGAGATAGTGGTTACACACGGTTCTGGTTCGAAGGCAGATGCTCCGGAGCTTGGGGCCCGCCCCCTGGGGCCTGGAGGGTAACTCCTCTTCGGGCCTGGCCACACCAAGGCTCAGTCTCTTTCCTCTTCCTTCCTCCACAGCAACTCTTGCAGTATGACCCCAGCCGGCGGATCTCAGCCAAGGCTGCCCTTGTGCATCCATACTTCTCGTCCACGGAGACCTCCCCGGCCCCCCACCAGTGCGTGCTGGAGCGGTTCTGCCGCTGAGAAGGCCGGGGCTTCCCAGCCTCTCTCCAGCCTCCCCACCCACTTCCCAAGAAAGAGAGCGTAGCTGGGAGAGAGCAAAGCTCTGAGGAATCTGGCCTCAGCAGCCAAGGGGGCTGAGTTTGGGTTAGTTCTGCCCCCACGTTAGCAAGTTCTCGTGTTGTTGGTTGGGTTTGACGATGCCGTTTCGAGATGGGGTCATGGAAGCTCCATGCACCAGGGTTGGAAGGGGGTATGTTAGAGACCGCATCCCCCGGCTCTGGAACAAGTCGCCGGGGAGAGCTCGAAGCCGGCCCCACCTGGCCGCAAGGCGGAGCCAGACAACCCCCCCCTCCGGAAGGGGTGCCCCCTGCTGGTCTTTATGGCTTTAAAATGTTTTTTTGGGAAGAGTTGCATTCCGCGAAGAGTCCAAGTTAAACAGGAAGCGGGGGCAAGGGAGAGAGAGGACATTTTCCTGATCCCAGGGTGGGTGAGGGTGTGTGTGGTGGTTCTGAGTTGTTGCCTCATACTTAGGAAATGCTTATGTTCGTTCACCCCTGGTTTTAAGAACAGGAAATAAAAGTGATGTGTTCCTGAGTTTGCCAGTGTTTTTCTCCTCAAGGGGTTACCAGGGACTTGCTGACAAGGGGGAGGTGGACAGAGGGCTGGAGACAGTTCCTGGCCCAAACCGAGAGACCCAGAACAGAGGTGGTGGGGAGGGGCTGTTCATGATCTTTCCGTGACCTGCCAACACACCCCTCCCAGAGTCAAGGGAGCCGAAGCCCGTGGAAGCACCTGTTCCCTCGGCAGGGCCGGTCGGGCGTGTCCACTTCCCACCTGGGAAGGACCCCCCGCCACGCTGCCCCTTGTGCTCATGGCTCAGACAAATCAATTCTGTGTTCCCAAACTCAAACTAGACGCTGGGAGAATTCGTTTATTGGAAGCACTGGGTGGGGGAGCGGGGAGGAAAAACAGATGTGCTGATCTCGGGGTCGGGGGATGGACTGGGCAGCAGAGTTAGGGGAGGGGGTCCACCATCGCAAACTTTTGAGTAATAGCACCGCGGTCAGACAGAGGGAAGACCTGCCCCTCGGATTAGGCTGCTCTGGGGGTGAGGGGTGCCTGCCGTCCGCCCGCCCCCCACACGCGCTCCCCATGACCACTTGGCCGCGTCAGCGCAGCACCCGGGGGGAGACGGGGCGGCAGCAGCGGTACCCCTCCAGCGCGGCCGGGAGCAGCAGCAGGCCGCTCAGGGGGTCTCTCCGGCAGCGCCCCATGGCCTCCTTGTAGCTCATCCGTTCCTTGGAGATGGGGTCTGTCAGATCCTTCTCGTAGCTGGACTCATCCTGCAGGAGCTGGGCCAGCTCTTCGCTGATCATTCCGGAGAGCGCGGCCTGAGGGACGGGGATGCGGCCGGTCCTCTTGGGGTGGATGAGCCCCCCGGTCAGGTGCTGCACCTGCAGGTGGGGGAGCATGCTCTCCTGCGGCACCCAGCCCTTCTGGACGGCCTCGCCCACCGACAGCCTCTTCTTGGTGACGGGATCCTCAATGCCAGTGAAGGCCTTCTGGGCGTTGAGCAGCCTCTGCGTCGAAGTGTTCTCGATCAGCCCCCTCTCCACAGCCTTGTGCACGGAGTAGCGCTCCCGGCTGAGGAGGTCCACGATGCCCCCTGTGGCCGCCTGGGCCTCCAGCAGCTTCTGCCCCGTGATGGGGTCCAGCATGTTCTTGGCCACGGCCGTCTTGACGGTGCATTTGTTGTCTGTGGTTGTGTCGTAGATGCCAGCGATGGGGAAGCTGTCATCGCTGAGCCCGAAGGAGACGCTGGGAGAGAAGCAGCCGGGGCCCTGGGGGGCTGGGGAGGCGAGCGGGGACTTGGAGATGATGGAGCCAATGGAGAGCGAGGAGCAGGGCTTGGTCTCCCCGGCCACGAGCAGCGCGAACTCGGAGATGGGGAGGTGGCCGTCCTTGTAGAGATGGTACTCCTCCTTGGAGATGCGCCGGCAGCGCAGGGCGGCCTCGATGGAGTACTGCCTCCCGCTCTTGCGGTCCAGGAGCACGGACTCCTCGCCACAGGGGCCCGAGGTGGTGACCTCCTCCCAGTCGCACTCGAGCTCCTGGAGCTGGAGGTACTGGCCTCGGTCGATGATGCCCTTCTTGTAGGCCTCGTATGGGGACATGTCCTTCCCTGTCTCAGGTTCGAGGATGGAGATCTTGGTGGAAAGGTTGGTCTCTCGCGTCTGGGTCTCCTGGTTGAGCTCCTCCCTGCTCACCTTGGCGTGGAGGTCCCGGAGGGTCCTCTCCTTCTCGTAGATCTGGTCCTTCTCGCGGAGGATGGCCGCCTCGAGCTGCGAGAGCTCCTGGCCCTGCTGAGCGGCCTTCTGCCGCTCGCTCTCTGTCTTCTGGGTGAGCAGCTGCGCCTCCTCTTGCAGCTGCAGCACTTTCCGTTGCTTCTGCCTCCCCAGCTCCCGCAGCTCCTGCTGCAGCTGCCTGCGCTCCTCGTCCGCCTGGTCCCGGGCCCTCTGGAGCTCAGCCTCCTCCCGGGCCCAGGTCCTCCCCAGCGCTTCGGCCCTGTCCAGCCGCTCCCGGAGGTGACGCACCTCCTCCTCCCGGCTCTGCCGGGCCGAGCGCTCCCTGTTAAGCACCTCCCACGCCCGGGACCGCTCGCCCTCCAGCACCCGGTCCTTCTCCACCCTGATCACTTCCTTGTAGATGGTCTTCTCTTGCGACTTGGTGGTCTGGAGGACATCGATCTGGACCTGCAGGTTCTTGCACTCCCGATGCAACTCTGTTACCTGGGTCTTCTCCTGGTCCAGGTCCTGCCGCAGGGCTTCCGTGGACTTCTCCAGAGCCGGGTCCTTCTCCAGCTTGACCACCTCCTCCATGATGATCTTCTCTTGCACCACGGGAGGCCGCTTCTCGAGCTCCTGGATCCTCAAGGTCAGCTGCCGCAGCTCCCTCTCTACGGCCAGCTTTTTGCTCCGGTCCTCCTGGAAGCTAAGCAGGCTCTCCTTCTCCTGCACGCCGGCCCGGAGCTGCTGCACCTCCCGCTCCAGCTGCCGCCGGCGGCCCGCCTCCTCGTCCAGGCTCCGGCTCAGCCGGCTGTGGTCCTCGCGGAGCTTCGGGTCCTTCTGAGTGACCACCACCTCCTGCACCACCACCTTCTCCTCAGGCCGCCTCCTCTCCAGCAGCAGGTACCTATTCTGCAGCTCGTGGACCACGTCCTCGGCGGCCCGCCTCTTCCGGGCGGCTTCTCGCACCTCCTGGCGCAGCCGCTCGGCCTCCTTCTCCAGGACTGGGTCCTTCTCGTGGCGCACCACCTCCTTGTTCACCGTCTTGGTCTCCACCTTGGACCGCTCCCGCTTCCACTCATCGCGCTCCCCCCGCAGCCGGATGAGCTGTTCCTGGGCCCGCCCGCTGCCGTTGACCAGCTCGTTGAGCTGGGCCTTCAGGCGGTCGATCTCCCGCAGCACCTCGGGGCTCCTCTCGTGCTTCACCACCTCCCGCGTCACCTCCTTGTACTCCACCGCTGGCTTCTGGGCCCGGAGGGCAGCCAGGTCGGGCAGCAGCCCCTCCACCTCCTGCTCCACGCGGCTCCTCTTGCTGGCCGTCTCCTGCAGCTGGGCCCGGAGCCGCGTCATCTCCTGCTGCGTCTCGGGAGCCACCTGGAAGGTCTCGTGGACACACTCCTGGAGCTCTACCTTGGGCTTCTGCTTCTCCACCACGCTGTACTTGCCACGCAGGTCCTCCAGCTCCCATGTCAGTGTCACGTTCTTGCTCCTGGCCTCTGCCAGGAGGCTCCTCAGCCTGGACGCCTCTTCGAGAAGGCCTGGGTCCTGCTCCACCTTCTTCACCTCCTTCACGATCACCTTGGGCTCCACGGCGCTGATCGCGCGCTCTAGGTCTTCAATGCGAGACTGCAGCTTGGCCACAGCCTCGGCCGCCGCCTTCCTCCGCCCCGTGTCCTCCTCCAACTGCCGCCTCAGGGCCTGGGCTGCCTTCAGCATTTCCAGGTCCTTCTCCACCTTGACCACTTCTTTCACCACGACCTTCTCCTTCACGTTCGGCGCCTTCTGCTCCAGGGCCAGCAGCTCCTTCTTTAGCACCTCTAGCCGGGCCGAGACGGTGGCGTTCTCCCCTCGCAGATGCTGGATCTCGCCGCTGAGCTGGGCCGCCTCGCTACTCAGGCCGGGGTCCCTCTCGATCTGGGTGACCTCCTTGGTCAGCAGGTGAGGCTGCATGGCCCTCCTCTTGCTCTCCAGCTGGACGACCTTCTGGGCCACCGCCTCCAGGTCTGCCTGCAGGCCGGCCCGCTTCTTGCCTTCATCCTCCACCTGGGACTTCACCTTGGACAGGCTGCTCTCCAGCTGGGGGTCCCGGTAGAACTCCACCACTTCCTTCTCTTCCAGCCTCTCCAAGGGCCGCTGTGTCCTCAGCTGCAGCAGCTGGTTCCTCTGCTCCTCCAGCTCCTGTTGCACCTGTGCGACCCGCTTCCTCTCCTCCTCCAGCTGGGACTTCAGGGCCTCGGACTCCCTCCCTGCTCTGGCTGGGCCCTCAGACCCCTGCCGTGTGTCATGGGTCACCTGGATATCCTCACTGAGCTCCTTCTGCAGAGGGAGAGGAAGAAGGGAAGAGTACTGGAGCAGAGGGGGAGGAAAGGGATGAGCCCCATTTCCACCAGCCCCACCCCACCCTGAGATCAGAGACCCCTCCCTGCTTCCTGAGACTTCTGGTAGGTCCCAGGAGTGGGAGCTACAGACCTGAGGTGCTTGGATGCAGGATTTTGAGAGGACCCCTCAGCCCCACGATGTTAGGATGCAAGGCAGCGTTCAGGCGGGGTTTGCACTAGAACGTGCAAACGGGACAGGTCTCCTTTCCAAACCTTTCCCCCTCCCCCTCCCCTTCCATCCAGGCTCCCGGATATGGGCCCACGCTCCTCTGGGGTACTCCTCTGGGTAGGAGAAAGCTGGCAAGTCCCTCGGCCAGACACCAAGCGTCATAGAGGGCTTCTGTCTCCTGGCGCCCCAGGCATGGAGATCTGGGTGGCCTCTCGCCCGTTGGGGCTGGTCTGAGGGCTGAAGACATGGGGATTTTCTCCTGTCCCCACCAGCAGACCGCCCAGTGGTGAAGCTGTGCCTGCCCTGAATGATGTCTCCGGGGCCTGACTCTGAGATGGATACCAGCCTGGAAGAGCTGCTGGGGGGGCCGGGGGGGTGGAGGGGGAGGCGGGGAGCTGCCCCCCTCGGCCGTGGAGCCTGCCCTGGGGCCGCAGGCTGCAGGGCGAGGAGGAAGGGAAGAGGGGTCGGGTCAAGGAGCAGCCCAGGCCGCCTGGCACAGGGACAGAATGGTGGTGTTGCCACACCTTCTCCAGCATCCTTCTGGCAAATTCCAGCTGGTGCAGCTGCCACTGGTGTGCAGCTGCGAGCTCGGTGTAGGCCTTTGTCAGCCTCTTCTCCTAGAGAGGCCGAAGGGAGGCAGAGCGACGGCAGGGTCAGCTCCGGCGTGGCACCTGCAGAGCTGGTGCCGGGGGATGCCGAGCCCCGCCGGGTCTGTCCCATCTCACCTGCGCCTGGATGCTCTCCTGCAGGGGAGCCACGCGGGGTCTCTTGGGGGCTGAGCCTGCCTGGGTGGTCTCCAGGGAGCAGCGGTAGGTGTCCGCCTGCAGCTCGTAGTCCTGAGCAGGGAGGGAAGGACAACAGGCTCTCGGTCAGTGGGGACCTCTGGGGGTGGGAGAGCAGGGGACTGGCAGAAGGAGGGAGGGGAGAGGAGGGAAAGTGCTCACCTGGAGAGCTGCCTGCAGGTCCTGGGAGAGGCGGGACACCATGGCCCTGTCCTGCTCTCGGCCCTGGACCTCCTGCTGCAGCCTCTGCCAGGAAGGAAGTGAGAGTCAGGGGAGGTCAGCAAACGCCACTCACCCAGTCTCCCCCGCAGGGGCCTCAGGGCGCCACCAGCACCCCACAGCGGCAGGAGGTCACCTGGGAAACTGCCTTTCCAGGCAGGATTCTCTCCAGGAAATCTTCCTTCCTCTCTTTGGCACAGTCCCTTCCTTCTGCCTAGTGACCCTCAGACTCCTGTTCTAGCAGGGAGGTTCTCACCCAGTGCTGTGCTTCACAACCATCTAGAGAGCTCGTTAAAACAGATTTGAGGCCCCACCCCCAGAGCCTCTGGGCAGATCTGGGTTGGGGCCTGAGAATTTGCACGTCTAAGTGTCTCCCTGATGCTGGGGCTACTGGTCCAGGGACCACCCCCTGAGAACCACTGCTCTGTCCCAACTGTTCTTAAGCCTGGCTGCCCCTTTATTCACTTGTGGGAACTTTAAAAAAGAGTACTGATGTTCTGGTCCCAGCGATTCCAATTTAATCAGTCTGGAGTGGGGTTCTGGTACAGGGATGCTGGTTTTCTTTTTTTTTTTTTAATTTTTTAAAAAAGATCTTATTTATTTGAGAGAGAGCACAAGCAGGGGAAGGGGCAGAGGCGGAGGGAGAAGTTGGCTCTCCACTGAGCAGGGAGCCCCATGCAGGCTCGATCCCAGGACCCGGGATCATGACCTGAGCTGAAGGCAGATGCCCAACTGACTGAGTCACCCAGGCGCCTCTACAGGGATGTTTTAAAAGCCCCCTGGATGATTCTAATCTGCAGGCAGCTCTAAGAATGTCTGTCCCAAGCCACCTTCCTGGCATTACTCCCTTACTCTCACCCTAGACACTGTCATCCTCCTGCAGCCCCAGGCCCTTGCCTTCCAGACCACTTGTCCTGCTGCCACGTGTCCTGCCGTGGGCTCTCCACCAGACCAGTTACCAGAGTCATGGCCTGCGAGGCACCAGACTGTGGGGTGCCTGAGAGCAGGCTGTACCCGCGGCCTCTGGTTCATTGCCAGTGCATAGCCAGGGATTGGCAAGGATGAGGAAAAGGATGCGGTAGGAGTTGGAACCCCCAGATGGAGACGGCCTTGCTGTTTCTGTGGGCCAGGTGGAGCATTGAGGGTGTGGGGGGGTGGTTGATGGTCCCCCAGAAGGCCTGAGTTCTGAGCTTTGAGGTCTCTTAGAACACTGGCCACTGGGGGGCCACATGTGCCCAGGCAGCTGTACCCATGGGGAGGTCAAGGGCCTGACCTGTCCCCAGGTCACCTGCAGCCCCAGCTCCTCACCTTCTGCACCTGCAGCTTGTAGGCGATCTGGCTGGGCCCATCGCTGGGCCGCACCTGGTTGCGGGGCAGGTGCTCCAGCCAGAAGCTCAAGTTGTCCGTACAGTTCTTGAACTGCTGGTAGGTGAGGCCGACATCTTGCAACATCTTCTCCCTGCGGGAGGAGCAGGCCCGGAGCAGAGGTGAGCTCTGCCCTCTGCGGCAGGTGAGGGGTGCACGGAGGAGGCTGGTGAGTGCCTCCCTCCCCGGGACGAGTCAGAAGGCCCGAGCGACCCACCAGGCCGATCCCCCTCACTCTGGCCCTGTGTTGGAGCTGGGCATTCAGGGATGGGCCAGACCGTCTCGGCCAGGGAGGTAGGAAGGCTCACCCTGGGAGACAGCTACTGTTATCATCCCGTTTTAGAGGTGAGGAAACTAGCCTCAGAGAGGCGAAGTCACCAGTCTGAGGTCACACAGCTTAGCTGCTGGGCACCGTGGGGGCGTGCCTCAAGCCCCAATGGCCCAGCCACTCACCGTAGGTCCAGCTGGTCCCCCACAGCATGGTAGCGGTCGGTGAGGGCCCTCGCCTGGCGCTGCTGGCGAGGCAGGTCTTGGCAGAACTCCTGGAAGTTGTTCTGCAGGGTGCTACATGCATGCTCAGTGGCCTTCAGCTCCCGGAGCAGCCCCAGCACACAGGCCTGCTGTTCCAGCAGCTCCTTCCGCAGGCGCTGGGAGGAGGGGACACGGCGCCATGCACCCTCATGGTTCCATGAGTCACCATGAGACCCCACCCGCCCGTGAATGCTTGGTGCCATGCCCCCTCCCACCAGGAGGCCGCCCGGCCCCTCACCTGCAGCTCGCTGACCCTGTCCTGCAGCGCCCCCGGGCCAGCGGGGATGGGGGCCTCCTGCGCCATGGCGGACTCGAAGCCTCGGATGACCCTGTCCGTGTCCTGGATCTGGCGCTCCAGGCCCAGGGCAGCTCGGGCTCTGTCTCGAGGCGGCCCAAGGTCAGGCCCTCCCTCAGCCACACCCCAGCGATGCCACCCAGCTGCCCCCTTCCCCAGTCCCCAGAGCACTCACTTCTCCCCGTAGAGGTTGCAGAGAACCAGCACGTCGCTGTACTTGTTCTTGACACTGTTGAGAGCCAGGGGCAGGTGCAGGGCAGTGGGGCCCCCAGGCCGGGTGGACAGAAACGCCTCACACTCCTGCTGGGCCGCCTCCTTCTCTGCTCCCAGGCCCTGCAGCTGCTGGGCTGTCCCCTGGGGCAGGGAGGGGCAGGGTCAGAGGTCTCCTTCCTGCCAGGTCGACCAGACCCTGCCCACCTGGCCTCAGTGTGTGGTGGGTATGAGCCTGGGCACAGGCTAGAGACCGGGGTCAGTCCTGGCCCCGAGAGTCCCCATGTGGAGGACCCTGGGCAGCCTGGCTGAGCCCCAGTCTCCTCCTCTGAAGAACGATGGGAGGAGGCAGCGTGACCCTGTGTCTCTGTGCCCTGCACAAAACGTCAGTTCCCTGCCCCGTCGCCCCAGGTCGGGCGGCAGAGCCCTAGCTCTGTCCACGTGGGGTTATTCTGCTCCTCCTCATTCCCTCATCCGTCCCGCAAGCCGTCGGTGCTGGACTATGGACAGCGCACTGCCTGCCTTCCGGTCTCACTGGGCTTCCTGTGGCCCCAGCCTGATGTCGGAGAAGCGGTGACTTCAAGACTCAAGGATGCACTGGCGGCTGCCAGGTCCCCGTGCCGTCCTAACCAGTGACTTGCCCACACGGCTGTATGGCCCAGCCTCCTGTCGGCCGCAGAGCCTCCGGGTGGAGGTGGTGTCCCCTGAGGTGGCATTATAGCCCTCGGCCTCCTCCTGCCCCTGCCTCCTCCCCCTGCTCTTCTCCCCATGACACTTCCTCAGAAACGCCCAGCACGCCGGCTCAGAGCAGACCCAACCTGCAACAGCTCCCACTCATCCCGCCCCGGGCCCCTGACCCGGGAAACGCTATGTCCTCATCCCTACGGGACAAGATGGAGCGGACAACAAGCTGCACGATGATGTGTAAGGACATGACTGAGACATTTAAAAACCAAACCCAAAGGATACATTTGACTAGAAACTGGTTGGGAAGGACATAACCCAAACTGCACCCCCCCAGGTGTGGGGAGGGACGGAGGATGAGTTCTTTGTGATGGTGTTCACATACTGCAACCTGGCCAGGGAGGCGCCCCCACCTGCCTCCAGGAGAAATCACCCCGAAGACGCTCAGGCTTCCTTGCTGCTCTCGGGACCCTGGCCAGAACGCCTCCCCAGTGTGGCGTACAGGGCCCTTATTCTGGGCCCTGCCCCTCTAGAACCTTCCCGGGCCTTAGTACACTTCATCCAGATGAGTTGGGTATTATTGTGTCTGTTTTCAGTGATGAGAGGTTAAGTGACTTCCCAAGATCACAGAGCTGGTCAGGGGAGGAGCCAGGATGGGAAGCAGCTTGCTTGAGCCCCAGACTGTCCACTCCCTTCCTCTGCCTTGGGTCCCTGCGGCTGCTCCCACACTTGCTTCGTCCTTAGTTCATGCACCCCCAGCGCAGGCCCGTTTCTTATCCCCGCTGTCCTCGCTCACCCACCCACCTTGTGGCTTTGGATGCGGCCCTCCAGGTCCTCCAGTGGTGTCGTGCGGCTCAGCGGGGCCCGGGCCCAGGCCAGCACCTGCTTCTCTATCTGCTTCAGGTCTCCATCCAGCCGAGTCATCTGTGTCAGGAGCTTCTGGGCCTGTGGGTCTCCTGGGGCTGAGCCAGTGGGAGCTGGGGGCATAGGGTGCCGTGAGGGTCCAGGGCCTACCTCCCATCTGCCCATCTGCCTGAGGAGCAGCTCTTCCCTGGGGGCCCCCAGAGCGTCCTGTGTGGGATAGGAAGGGAGGGGGACGGCGGGCAGGGCCTAACCAGGGGAGGGACAAAGCTCGGTGCTTGCCAACCCAAGAGATGGAATCCCCTAGCAGAAGTCCCTAATCCAGAGCCACCCCCTGCCCATCGCAACCCCCCCCATTGGTGGCCAACAAACCCCCCAAGTCCCCGGCCGACCCTCAGTACCCTGCTGGCCAGTCTTTAAGGGCCGCTCAGCACTGGCCATCAGGTGGCTCTGGACTGTGCCCAATTTCTGCTTCAGGCCCTGCAGCTCCGAGGCCAGCCTAGAACAAGGAGGAGATCAGACAAGGATGTCTCTCCTCTCTCTCCAAACCCCGCACCCACCCCAGGAGTCATGGGTCCAGGAGAAGGCCAGACCATGGCCTCAAACACCACAGGACCTGGTCTGGGCCCACAGCCTGCCTCCTGCCCCTGAGGATCCCCCGGCAGACCCACTTGGAGGCCATGGCCACGGCTTCAGGGTCCGGAGCTGGGATGCAGAAGCAGGCGGCTGGCGCACGTTTGGTCTCCCCACCTGGGCCTTGAACGACCCAGGTGTGCTGGTCAGTGTTGTCCATCAGCAAATACCGCTCACCCCGCTGCAGCTGCACCTGGGGGACGGGGGGGCGGGGGGTGTCGTGGAGGCTCAGGGCAGGGAATAGGGAAGGAATGAAGGCCCAGATGGGGTAGGGGCAGGGACGGGCCAGAGGCGGGGCAGGGCTTGGAGAGGGGTAGGGCTGGGGCAGGGTGGGGATGTGTGGGCCGAGCCCATACTTCTCCTGAGTCCCAGTCGCAGATGCTGTCCACATGCAGGGGCTGCTGGGGCGGGTTCCTGCGCTGCTGCAGAGGGGCCACCTGTTGGCTACGCCACTGCAGGTCCCTAATGGTCTTCTCAGCGACAGCCAGCTGCTTCTTCTCTGCCTGTGGGGTCCCAGGCTGCCCTTGACGCCTGCCCCACACCCCCCCTCCCCCCGTGAGAGCCAGGGGTCTGGTCTACATGGAGACAGGGTCTCTAAGTCAGGAAAGTAAAAGAAGCCCCTCCAGGAGGCCCAGGATTCTGAAATCTGCTGGTTGGGCTGGAGGGGCTGCTCAGGGCAGGACTAAGCCCCTGGGAAGGGTGAGGCCCAGACACAGGGGCCAGCCCCAATCCCCGGAGTAGGATGCAGGTGGCCTGGGGTGGGGGGGGGGCCGGGGGGCGCTCTCACCTCCAGCTGCTGCAGCAGCTCTATGGGGGCACCAGGGGGCGCCCCTGAGGCTGGGCTGTACTGGGTGTCCAGGCTGGAGTTCAGCTTTGCCAGGGTTTGGCTGACCGAGTCCGCCTCTTCCTGGAACTGAGGTCGTGGGCAGTCAGGGGCAGCGCCCGTGGCAGCCCACTGCCCACCAACCCTGCAAGCCAGCTAAACGCAAATTGTCACAGGCCCTGGCACTGTCGGCTCTCCAGGCCGTGGGGCCTTTTCCGCTGGAGTGCTCTGCAAATGGTGCATTTTGGGCCCACTGAGCTTGTTTTAGTGTTTAGTGTTATAAAACAGCTTGGCTTCTGTCCTTCCTGCCCAGGTGGAGGCGGGGCTCTCCTGCTCACTCCAGCACCTGCAGTCATCCTGGCTGGGATCGGGGGTGGGTGCCAGGGCGTCGGGGCTGGAGTGGAAGCTGGGAGCACGCTCTAAAGAAACATCCCACATATAATGTATTATTTGCCTCAGATCTGCTTCAGATCCCGACACCTAGGCACCCACCCCCGATCCCAGCCAGGAAAAAAAAAGAAGATAGCAGGAGGGGAAGAATGAAGGGGGGGAAATCGGAGGGGGAGACAAACCATGAGAGACGATGGACTCTGAAAAACAAACT